ATTTCCATCTAGCAGTAAATTTAAGAGTTACAGTGCTGGCTGAGCAATCTACAGAAGATTTCTTCAAACAATTGTTAACTACTTATAGTAAAAGCTGTGTTCCTTTCGAATCGATAGCTTTCATTTCCTTCAAATTATTGTAAGCAGTATGAAGTTCGCCGGGTCAGCTTGTTATAAATTTTGTAAGGTTGTACCAAACAACAGAATTAGCTTGTTAAAGAAGCACAAAATACCTATATACCATCGTAACAGACCGCGAAAGGAAAAATATTTTGTTTGTTTTCGTCATAACTTATAAAGTACATGATGAATCTGAGTTTTCAGTATTTGTTGTTTATATACAACATCATATAGGTACCAAAAATTCACATTCTTGATTACTTAAATAGTTACGTTTACGTGATACATCTCTATGCTATTTTTTTAGAGAGCAACAAACTTATTTAAAAATTAACTTTTTTTACAAGAAATTTATCGATTGAGATAAGGTTACTTTTTCGATATAATATCAATATATCGAGTTATTTTGATTTTTCGCCAATATTTTTAGGTTATGTGAATAAAGTTTAAATATAAAAAATGTAGATCTTTTGATTGCCTTTAATTTTCCATAGATTTTTTGGCTTCGCTCGAATTATTTATTTATCTATTTTTTAAAGTGTTCTTTTCCTTTTGGTTATGGGCTTTATACTGTTCTGCATATTTTTCACTTTTTATGATTTTCAAAGGCAAACCGCACTGTAGGCCTATTCGCTAACTACTTTTAACAGTTAGAGGTGATACACATCGAGCTATTTAATGATTCACTACTGCATGTTTCTTGTGCTTATGCTTTGCCTATTTGCATGTTTCTGTTATCTTTATTGCAACTTGTATATAGTTCACCTTTATAGTGCAGTATGTAAAAATGACAACTCGTACGTCAGTAAAGTATAAAATTTTGCCTTCTCTTATAATAAAAAATACACTTACACGCGCTTTTTTTTATTGAACTAATTTTATTTTACTGAGTTTTTCTTGGTGGAGCCTAATTTATTTTTATAAGTTGACTATAAGTAAGTAAGTAATTCGTTCCCTTTGTCCACAAAAAATGCATGATATCTTCGTTTGACAGACACTTTTCGATTTGGGCAAGCCACTTTGGAATTCGTTACGGTATTTATCTGCTTTACGCACTTTTGATGCCTGGCGGGGGGGCGCGACCTAACTCGGGAGCATTCGGGACTCGGGACAGACAGGCCAGCGAGCCCTGGCATCCGTAAGTAAAGGCAAAGGCACTCACAGTCGGGAGCCGATCGGCGTGGCGGATGCACGCATGCGTGCGTATCTCTGACGACGACCGTGACGTCCTGTTGCACGCACTTACGTACGAATACGCGTCATTTTTGCCACAATAATTGGACGTGCGGATGTTGAAAGGACACAAACTGATGTTGCTCATTGCTACGTAGTACTTTCTTTGATGTTTAAAAAAGGTTTAGTCCCAGTGAAATAAACTCAAGTAAGTTGTAGTGTTGAAGTTATGTGCGTGGTCAAAAGGGCAGACAGAGCTCGTCCTTAAACATCTCGTGTCAGTCAGCATGCCGTGGAACTGCCCGTGGTCGCGTGACCATCAGCAGTCAGCGTTCGTCAGCCCGCCACTGCATTTGGTGTCGCAGGTTCGTTTCCCGGTGTTATTATTAACCCCTGAAATAATAAACAAGTTTTATTACGTTGATAGCTTCACGCAGAGACATCAAATGTATGAGTTTAATTAAAGTTGTAGCTGTTATTTTCTTTGCAATAACAATAGAATCTAGACAATAGTTAAATTTAATTGAAATCTCTGAGTAAGGTCACTCAGAAATGTCAATTAAATTTAACTATTGTCTAAGTGACTTCCAGATTATTATATCAAAACGAAAAAATCTTACCTGAACAGGTACAACCAACTACTTCTAGTACTTAGTTTACTTACTACTCTGTTTTTTAATTAAAAAATAGGCTAGACCTTATTAAATTGTACAAATTAAATGCTTTTAAAAGCTCGTTGGAATTTTGTCTGACCGTGCTTTACCTGTTCACGCCAAAGTAATTTCAGAAGAACGGTAATCATAGATAGTCAATAGTCGATGAACTCATTACAAAAAATCATATGAGATTATATACGACGGAAAGGGTTCGACCACTCGTAAGTAATGCCGTATACCCAACACAAGAGATAAAGCTGGTAGCCAGACATAATCCAAGATTTGTATTAATGGATTTAAAGTGTTGTATGCATGTTAATGTCATGTCCGTGTAAAACTTTCCGATATGAAAGTATAACAAGCGGTCAACCTGTTGAAAAGTTTAGTGGAGCTTATAATTCTATCATGTTTCAAACACTCAGGTAAGAAGCTATAAAGATATCAAATCATTAATGTAGAAATCATAAAAAAGTTGTTAAAAAGTTTCGTAAGTTTACGGCGTTTAACATGGTTCAGAAATTTTCACTTCCATTAAAGTATATTATATAAATAATATTTACGGCTGAACAGGAATACAGCACTTGTAAAAGTTAGGACGATATAAAAAAAAAGAAAAATAACAACTTTTCCTCAAACGATAAACTTTTTAAAAAACGAGCTTATGTGATTACAAGGCAGTTACCATTCTCCGCTTGCCTATTCGAACACTATGAGACTGTCGAATTGTTTCTCTAAAAATTTTTGGTGAAGCGGCCTAGGGCCTGTACTAGAATTGACCACAGAACAGGTTTCCATGTTATTAGAGGCTTGCCATACATTCCCTAACCCGATTTCTGCCAACCTTAAATAATATTTTCGAGAAATCTGTTATTTGGCTACAGTCTTGAAGACTAGATGAGGCGAAGATTAAGGTGTCGAGATGGAGCTTATTTCACCAGAGTGGAAGAGTGAGAGATAAAACTTTACTGCGTTGCCGTACCTTTATTGACCTGCACCGATGAGGAACTTTGTCCACGGACTTTTCTGCCCGCCAAAATAGACCGCTTACAACTGCATTGAGTAACGCTCACGAGGAATTAAAAGCCCAGCGTAAAAAAGTCTCCCGAATAACAGAGAACGCGGAGAGACCGGACAGAACAAAAGTACGCGGATACCCCGAAAAAAAATTAACTGATGTGAATAGGCGCAGTAACGTACACGGCAAACTTTAGTCTGCGACTCTGCGTTGCATAATCCAATTTAAAGGGATGAACCCAGTCTTCACTTTTAAAAAGTCTTTTCATTTTCTTCTTAAACTAAATGTTAATAACATTACAACACAACGTCATTTCAGAAAATGTGTATCCATAGCGTGCGCTTTTCTAAATTTCCGAGCAACAAATGCTCGCGCACCGCGTGCGCTGCGCTGAGTCCGTGGCAAGTTCATTTTTTTTCAAGTTTCAGGGACTTTTGTTCGAGGAGGACAACGTGATAAAAACGTCTACGCAGGCCATAAGGTACTTTATACCAAAGGAGATTGCTCAGCTTCCATACATGTTTGGCCTAAAGACCAATAATCATGAAAAACTGTTTCCTAGATTCGAAATTATGTATAAATTACTGTAGAAACGAATATTATTGACGGACACCCCTGAGAACTTCTATAAACCATATACACTGAACATATTAAAATAATAAAAAAACAAATAAGTTATATAGTAATCTAGGGAAATTAAACCAAGTACCGAAATTATGGATTATATTCAGGTATATAGAGCATGTAGATTTACAGATAGTTGCCTGATTTTAAAGTTAATGCATAAGAGTAACTTTTAAAATCAGGTGTCATTTCCGGTTATAATAAGGTAGGTACTCTGTGACAGAAACTGTGTGATGATTGTGAATGAGCCACAGATTAGAGAGAATTTTTAAACTCTCGTTAACCAAAGAAAGCTAAGAGATTTAGGTTCTATAGCCATATATTTAGTAGCTTCATTATTTTTGTTATGTTTTTTAAGATAACCATATTTTAGATTTTTAGTGTATCACACCTTATAATTTTATTTATTTATTAATTTATAGTAAGGGAACGTAGGCCCATAGATAGATACCTTAAAGTCTTACATATATACAGATTATAATGTGTTTATGGAGGTGTTTGGCGAAAAATGTATGGCAATAGACTTTATGATATCGCCTACCATCTATAATAATTGTCTGACCACATTTGCATCTAGTGAAAATAATAATATAGTTGTGGATATTAATACCACAGTGTAATAAAAAAATAATATTTTATCGATTTTTACAAAATAGATTTGTTTTTATGTTATATAAACAACTTTGATCAGTCTTTGGCTGAATGTTACTGCACCCATAGCCATTAAAAATGATTCGTATGTTTTCCAAACCGGTAAAATTAAAAGTCCTTTTTAAAGTAAATATATTATACAAAGGTGTCCGTTGAAATCTAATGACTCTAAATTAAATTATAAATTACGCCAAGAATTACCGTGTATGTCAATATTTTTTGTGCATTTAGGCCAATTTGAGCAATCTCCTTTAGATATAAGTTGCATAAAAAATATCTCGATACCTATTTTAAAAATAAGTTGCTATATTTTACGTAAAAATAATATGGTTTTTATTTAGTACTAATAAAAAAAGACAATGTGTAGTAAGTATTATGTAGTTACTTAGCTTTTGATATTAAATCTTAATTTCCGCCACGCTATCGTTCGCTTTAAATAGTAAGAACTTTTTTTAATCCCCTGGGAACCTTACATTTAACCCAGATAAAAAGTATCCTAGGTCTTCTTTGAGAAGACCTCTTCAAGTTAAAAAAGCCAGAAAGCAAACAGGCCACACTATGGAAAATATACCTACCTTTAAGCTCGAATAAAAGCTGCGTACTTTTGCACCGTATGTAAGTACTTTATAAAGCGAAGCCAGGAACGCGATCTCCTTCGAAGTTGAGATTGAAAAATTAAAGAACCAATTGTTCCCTGTTCTTATATGATACCAGCACCTAGCCTAGTGTCGTTATCCCGTGTTAATCGCGGCAGCGTGGATTAGCTGGCAGCATCGGGTCTCAGTCAGTCCGATTTGAACAGCGCCCCGCTCCACCCGCTTTTACTCGCACACGAAAAGACGCGCTTGCGATACAAATACGACGACCGATAGTATAGGGCGTTGAGAAACATGAAAATTAAAAATAAATAATAGGTGCTTTAATCAGTTGGCACAGTTTGTTTTATACAATTGTTAATAATGTAGGTATCTATCAAGATGCCCTGGAATTGTTTCTGGGGATATGAACCCCCTCCGCCTACATGCAGAGTGAGCAAACCTCTGCAATTAATTTTGCAGGTAATTACCTAATATTAATGATATTTTTGGCAAGATTGCATATTGTAATTGTGTAAGTACTGTATACCTATAAGATTTTGATGTTTCTTATAAAGATTCAAAGAGTTAATAAAATGACTTAAGTATATAATTATTACGGTCCAATAAACATCAGGTTTATCAGTTTTTTTTATTACTTATCTCAGTTACCTATATGTCAAATATGCAAGCGTTGTTACTCTTTTTGCATGATAAAATGTGTAATATTGGCAAGATAATGATAATGAACTGAAATTTACACAAACTTTTATTGTAAACTAACTGACCCAGCGAACTTCATACCGCATAAAAGTAGGTGTTGGCGGTAGAAGGGTGAAAATTTAGGGTAGTATGTATTATTTAATGCCACATTATAAAAAATATAAAACAAAATATTGCCAAAATAATACAAAGTAAATGTTAGGGGTGGACAACCCTTAGTACTTAGAGGTATGAAAAATAGTAGTATAAGTAGCCGATTCCCTGACCTATGCATATAAAATTTCATAAAATCGGTCAAGCCGTTTCGGAGGAGTATGGTAACTACGAGTAATATTGTGGCACGAGAATTTTATATAAAAGAAAAAAAAAATCGTTTTACTTGCTGCAAAAAGTTCCGCATTATAATTCAAGTGAAAACTTTAGTTGTAGTTATCAAGCGTATGAAATGCTTTAATTGCAGGCTTTGTTAAGAACTAAGAAAAAAAAACATACGTATTGTCAAACATAAAATAGAAAATTCGAAAAAGTACCAAAATCCTTAACTTAAATTGTTTAATTTTGTTAATTATTCTGTAGAGCTTGCTGGTCGCACCAGTACGTACATTTACTACCACGTTAAACTTCTTGTTAAAATAAGATGATCATGTACAATAATATACTTAAAATCAAACGTTTAGGAGACAAATTTTAGTTTTCCGATATACTTATTTCACAGTCCCAATAAAAACAGCTTTTACTTCAGTCTCGTATCGTACAAGCTTTTCTTTAATTTTCTGTATATCTTTATCAACTACATAGTGTTTCAGCATGAAGTTGGTAAGTTTATTTTAGATTAACCGTATTCCATATTACTTGTTACGAAACTCAATAAGTTATTTATACTTATGCGTGAAGAGTAGAAAAGTTAATATTTACGAAACTTCTGTTTGCCCTAAATTGTTGCTCCCGATGGATTCCAACTTTGCTTTTATTTATTCTGTGGTTTTGGGTAAAGATATTCATAAAGTAGGTACAATTTCTTTCGGTGATATTATTGTATTTGAAACTTTAGCTTTGTATATATAACACGGTAATGAGCATAGTGGACTTATATTTTTAAACAAAATGATTTGGAGGCTTACTATGATCTCTTATTTGCAGAACTCATTAAGTTCTTAATAAGAACTGATTTCGAATTCGATTCAGTCGAAGTCTGGGTACAATAGTTCAACTAAAAGTTGGTATCAGATTAGTGGCGCCATATTCCTTGTTAAATTAAAATGTTAATGTTGTTGACATAATTAGTGCATTCTTCAACGACGTATATTAAACAGATTATAACAATCGGTTTGATCATTCATTAAATTGCGACTACGAAGTTACAAACTCCTCAGTCTGAACTGAATCTGAAACAAAAAATAGATAGCACGGAAGGTAATCTCATGTAGGTATTTCACTTTTCACACCTATGCTTGGCAGTTGCATTAGGATTGTCAACTTTGGGTTGTGAACAAAAAATCGTGGTAGTGGCACTCGTATGTATCTAGTTGTTTGATTAATTGTTGTTACAAAAACAAGAAGAATAGAAACATAAAATAATAATAAACCTTAACTACGTTATGTATTTAAATTTAAATATTATTGTTATATTAAAACCAAATTAAAAAAAAAGCGAAATGTGTGTTGGGACACTTAGTAGAAGTGAAACTTCAACAGAGAAGCGCCGAAACAGCCTTTGCCTGCTGCTTTTCACCGCGCGATGTATCGTCTACTCCTCTATGCGGCCGTAACGCTTTTTCGTGATAGCAAAATCCTAATACCCCCGTCTATACTATAAAAGTTTGTCTTTAATAACAATATTTAACCGTTTAATGTTGAATTCAAACAACTGTCCACTTTGTTATAATAATATTTTTTTAGTTGCTTTATTTTTGCACAAAATGTTCACCGATGCGTGTCTCAAGGGGATGGTACCCGCGCTCGCACTGGTCCCGAGCAGACCGAGATAGCTTGTCGTGTTCGTGATATCGGGTTGTTCGTTCGCGGTATCTATGTGTGCTTGTTCGAGCGCACTTTGTATGTAGATTACTTTCTGTACTGTCGATTTTGAGAACGCACGCTGTCAAATGTAGTTAGTGTCTCAGAAAAAGTCATTAGGTACATTCCGTTCATTCCCTTTCCGATCGTTTCAGTTTAGGGTTTGGTTTTGGAGATCATAATACGAAATTATAGCAGAACGTAATCAGTTCTCATTGAGAACTGAATCGGAATATTGGTCGATCGTAGTAAGCATCCTGCTATGTTTTTGTAAAGACAGTTCATCTAATTATATGGGTAATTTTTTCCATTGTGTCCATATAACATATACCTATTTGGTCTACTATTTTCTGAAACTGAAAATCGCTTCTGTCAATGTAGACTAAACTTTTTTTGTACTTTTATACTCACTTCTTGTAAAAAATATTCTTTATTAGATATACCTACCTAATAACTCATACAGGTATTTTACCTGTCCTTTTTATAAATTGTAACTTTGTATTCTAAAAATAATTTTGAGGGGTGAGGGCAGGAGGTACTTAGTTTGGTTTTCTGTCTCACTAATTTTTTTAGCTCTAAGTTATTGATGTTACTTTTGTTAAGTTTAGAGTGCAATAAAAAAAATACATTTTAATTATTAAAAATCGCCTTGGTAGTTATTTTTAATAAAAAAAAAACATTGAAAAACTCGTAGGTGCGTGAATAGTCCCACAGTTTCCGAAGTTTAATACATTAAATTAGGGTTTATTTTGGGTTAACCTATAAATTTAACGGTACTGTAAGTAAATAAAATACTTATAACCGAGTATAAAGCAGATGTATTAGATTTTTTTTAAATTTTTTTAGGCTCCTAAATTTTGCGTGAAAATACCTACAGAAAACAAGTAAGCAAGTTTTTTCAAAATTACAGTCGAAAACAGTTCGTTAATGTGAAAAAAGCGTAAAATTGTATCCATCGATTGCTTATTAATAAAATAATTGAAGTATGACAGTTTTCCCACGATATCAATGTAATGGGCACAATAAGACATAATTGGTGCAACGATGCCGCCCACCCAGCGGACAAATTTACGCTTTAATTCTCCGATGCGCTTCATACTGATCTAGCGCAGACACCACATCAAATGAAACTCTTGTTTTCGAACCTTATTACATGGTAATAAGTGTTAGTAGACAACTATTAAAGTGGCGTGGTCTGTACTTTCGGTACCTACTACATTTCTTTTTTTCTCTTTCCTTTTATGACTTGCACGAGCTGTCGTTGATATTAATAGCGATGACGAGATGATTTACCGAGTAAAGTCGTAATAACTGAATAGATTAATAAGATTTATCGTTAATTATTCTAGACAGTACGTACGCATTATTATTATTAATAAAATAAATATGCCTTTATTGAAAAAGCTCTAAGAACCTTGTAAGTCGTAGACGTAAATTTCATTTTTTAATACTGATTTTCAGATTATCATTTGATTCAGGTAAGTAGTCAATCGTTATGATGATGGTGAAGTAGTTTACACAATGTAATCCATATTAAAAAAAAACTTGAAGACAGCTTTAATTTCACATTTCGCTGAATATGGCTTTTTAAATCTCTATTATCTTAAACCTAGTCAAGGCTAAACTACTAGCTTAAGTGTGTAAAAATAAAGGAAAATAAATTACTAAAATTATGTATAAGTATATATAAAGCAAAATAGACAATTTTGTTCGTATATAAAAATAATAAATAATAATAGTTCATTTATAAAATATAAACGCTCATTTAGAATACTTGCAGAAAGTATCAGACAAGAGAATATATCTGGAAAATAGTAACTATGACAAAAGATATAAGAAAATCTGTTAAAATAGAAACCAAAATACATGAAGTCCTGCCACTGACTGGGAATGAATTAATGGTATAAGTAACAACAATTAAAACAGTGTATATATTCCAATTTCCTAAAAAAAAATACAATTAAAAGTTAAACCAACACATTATTTATAAGATTTAAGTTCTTACTGATTTGATATATTATTATTATTCCGTTAGTTTCATTTTAATTTCGTGTTTTGTTACCCCAATCAGTGCCTATTTATGAGTAATTAAACAACATATTTCCACGTGTCGATGTATTGTTATTGATATTCATACTTACACTAAAGGATTAGTTAGGACGACCATCGATTACAAATTGATGCTCGGTTAAGTGTTGCGGTGCCATTATTAGTTGGCTTTTGTATCTAGTCTGAATCTATTTGGTATGTGTGACATGGTTGGTTTGCCTTGGCACTGCGAGTTAACGGTAGAATGCTAATGCGCACCGATGTGGTAGCATTGTCGCTGCATGCTTCCCAAATGTTGCGTAAGTTGGTGCTTGCTATACAGAATACCGTAGCCACAGTACCTCTGCATTAAATTAATAAAACTTAATAGAAAGTCATCAAAATGTTTGGTGATTTATATTCGCTCTAAACTAAACTTATATAATCCGCTAGATAAGTAGCTAGGAAAAAAGTAGAATCGTACTGAAAGCTTCAAAAAAGGTGACACCAAGTTCTTTTGTCTACGGGGTTCGTGAATAACATACGATAGATTAGAAATTTATATTATAAATTACTACACTATAACATATACTATAAACTGTATTACTACTTAGGGCTCTTTCAATTTATGCGTTTCTTGACGGCCTGCTGCGGTGCCGAAGCGGTGCGTTTGTCGTACAGCGTACGGACGATCCTTTTTTTTCATATAAAACGCG